ATCTTTTTCTTCTGTTACAGGTGAAGATAGTGTTATGAGAATCCTATTTCCAGAGAATAGACTTTTTGTTCCAATATTTTTTAATATTTTTTTTTTTGTTCTAATGAACGTTTGTTTTTGTTCATGTTAAAGTGAAGGTGTTGCTTATTTATGTTCTAATATTTTTATTTTATTGAAATATAAATCTCTTTTTCTAAATATGGATCTTCTATATACTCATACATTCATCAAAAATAAAAAAATCACAAATTAAATTTAAATAATTACCACATCCAATTAAAAATTGGGTCTCCCCCCACTATAGCAGTTATGTAAGTATAAATGGGCGATAGTAATTCAGGGTTAAAATGCGGAACAAATCCCTCAGAAATAGTTTTTCACGATTACGGAACGAGGTAAAATTGACTTAATATTTTGCAGTGGTTCAAAAAAAAAGTATTTTGCATGATTAATGCAAAAACGTCGTATTTCATAACATTATTTTAACCCTTTGTAAGTTTGTAGGTAAATACTTAAAGATGTATCAGATGTACAGAAATAAAATATCAAGCCTCAGGAAAAGTTGTTGAATAGTGTATTCATTTTAAGGATGGGACAACAGAAATCATGAACACTTGGAGGGCCAAATGTAAGACAGGAATTTTAAGAGTTGGGTGCATATCCTATAGAGTTGCGACAGTACGACTGAAATTATATAATAATAAATTCCAATTATGTTAATTTTACAGATGTAATTTAGAGATGTTGATAATATATGCCGGGATATTTGTTTGCAAGTGCCGAAATCTATTTTATGGCCTGTCTAATGTTGGTGCTAGGATAAAGCCGATGTTGTTTGTTTATTGGTCTGTGCACGATCCGCAAACCACACTATATACTCCTTGGTTTTAAAATGTAAGTTTTGTATTGGGTTTTCTAATATTGCTCCAAAAGTATAATCATGTTTGTATGCTGTAGATATCTCGTGTTTCCATAATATCCGGCTGATTCTGTCAGTAACCCCCTTGATGTATGGCAGAACAGCGATCGATCTTTGTTGGGTTTCGTCCTGCACTCTCTGTTGCGGCTGCTGTTGTTTGCTTTTTGCCTTCATGATGGTGCGTCTTTGGTATCCATTTTGCCGAAGATAGGTACTAATTTTCTTCACTTCATTCTCTCTGTTCTTCTTGTTTGTGAACCTGAAGGCTCGAGCAATTAATGTATTTTCCACTGCCTGTATCTGTGATGGTTGATGGTGAGACTCAGAAATCTATTGGTGTGTGATGGTCTTCTATAGACAGTGTGTTCCAAGTGTCCATCTTCGGTCCTTGTGATGTGTACATCTAGAAAGGGCAGACTGTTATCCTCTTCAAGTGCTATTGTGTATAAGCATTTTTCAGGCAGTGTCTTGACAGATCCGTTATGTACGGCGGAAGATCTTCGTTCTCTTCTATAAGCAGAAGTGTCTCCTCTACTGGAATGTTCGGGTATAGGGATTTGACATCGAAGCTTGCCATAATGTCGTCCTTGTCCATCCTGACCGAACCTAACATCTGAGTAAAATGTTCTGAATTTCTGACATACGATTCCGCATTTTCCACTATGGGTTGTAGAGCACTGGCCAAATGTTTCTCCAGCTTGCATACTGCTGAAATAAATTCGCTGACGATTGGACGCAGGTGAACCCCGTCCTTATGTATCCTTTGGAGCCCGTGAAATTTTGGACAACGACTCGATTTTTCCCTGGGTATAAGTTTTTCTTTGTATCCTCGTTTATTGATGACTCGAGAATTTTGGATTTATTTGTTCTTTTTAAATACGTTTTTTATATTGGCTCGTTCAAAATTTCTTCCAATTTTGCACTAGAATCCGATGTATTCATGACGACAGTGGCATTTACTTTGTCTGCTGGCATTATTATAATATTTTCGTTTTTGTTTAGATGCAGGATTCCAGTCGGAGTTCAGCAAACGAACGGATGGTTGGTATCGCGGACTATATTATCAACACATTTTACCATTCGTGAATCAGTGCATAGAAATATTGCCATTCCATTCCCATCATCAGGTGTAAATAATTAATTAATTAATAAAAAATATTCTTTTGAATGTGGGTTGCAGTGCCCTTATGACAAAATTATCCTATATTTTTTGAAAACAATAATTCATCGTATGCATGTTAGCGATATCTTTTATAGGGCCGAAAAAAGTCACGTATGCTGAGCCAGTATGTTAACGTAATTTTAGAAATGCCGAAGGTGTCTTACTTCCAATCGAGGCAATCGAATGTACCGGTAGAACTGAAAGACTGGACTAGAGTTCTGGGAGCAAGCGAGTGACCTAGATATCAGTTTGCTTATACAGTTTGGCACAAAATATAAATATTAAATAATTATATATATATATATATATATATATATATATATATATATATATATATATATATATATATATATATATATATATATATATATATATTCTCACGTATTGATTCACGGATGGAAAAATGTGATGACACTATATTCCGGGATATCATCCGTTGTGTGTTCGAAGTGTTTTCGGAGCGCGAGCATTGAAGATGCCAAGTGAGATTTTGGCGAAACGTCTGCAGGATTCCAGTCGGATGCAGGATATATATATATATATATATATATATATATATATATATATATATATATATATATATATATATATATATATATATATATATATATATATATATATATATATATATATATATATATATATATATATATATATATATATATATATATATATATATATATATATATGATGACACTATATTCCGGGATATCATCCGTTCGCTCGTTGAACTCCGACTGGAATCCTGCATCCGACTGGAATCCTGCAAATCCTGCATCCGACTGGAATCCTGCAGACGTTTCGCCAAAATCTCACTTGGCATCTTCAATGCTCGCGCTCCGAAAACACTTCGAACACTGGGAGGTTATCGGCGGTGCGTGCGGTATTTATACTCTGCGCCGGAGATGGTAACGGTGCTGCTTGTGCGTGGGGGGAGGTGGCTCCGCTCCCTGAATTGTCGCGTTGTTAATTTCGCCCGATCGTAGTTGCGATGTCCCCGTTGGCTGCTGACATCGCAACTACGATCGGGCGAAATTAACAACGCGACAATTCAGGGAGCGGAGCCACCTCCCCCCACGCACAAGCAGCACCGTTACCATCTCCGGCGCAGAGTATAAATACCGCACGCACCGCCGATAACCTCCCAGTGTTCGAAGTGTTTTCGGAGCGCGAGCATTGAAGATGCCAAGTGAGATTTTGGCGAAACGTCTGCAGGATTCCAGTCGGATGCAGGATTTGCAGGATTCCAGTCGGATGCAGGATTCCAGTCGGAGTTCAACGAGCGAACGGATGATATCCCGGAATATAGTGTCATCATATTTTTCCATCCGTGAATCAATACGTGAGAATATATATATATATATATATATATATATATATATATATATATATATATATATATATATATATATATATATATATATTCTCACGTATTGATTCACGGATGAAAAAATGTGATGACACTATATTCCGGGATATCATCCGTTCGCTCGTTGAACTCCGACTGGAATCCTGCAGACGTTTCGCCAAAATCTCACTTGGCATCTTCAATGCTCGCGCTCCGAAAACACTTCGAACACTCCCGGAATATAGTGTCATCATATATATATATATATATATATATATATATATATATATATATATATATATATATATATATATATATATATATATATATATATATATATATATATATATATATATATATATATATATATATATATATATATATATATATATATATATATATATATATATATATATATATATGAAGAGGAAGACCGCAGAGTCGAGGAGTTTTATAGTCTTAAGGAGTGACCGCCTTTTTGATGCATCCCGGAAGAGATGAAGCTTTATTGAGTTGATGATAAGAGCTGTCTAAGAGGGCCTCTTGAATTTGGATTAGATCTGTACTATAACTCCACAGCTTGGGCTTAGTTGGGATAGCTTAAGATAACTCAAACAATACTTTTTTTAACCAAAATAAATAAATTCAAGAACTCTTTATTAAGAGCGTTTCTGGAAATAACGTTTAAGAGGATTCTAAATAAAAAAAATAAGAAATTTTTGTCATATGAACATGGGTCCGGAAATACATAGTCTTCAAGATGCTTAAATAAAAAGTGTTTAATAAGTGTTATGACAAGGGGTTCATTTATGGTTAAAATTATGAAGTGGCATCTCGGAAGGCGCCTTGTCGAATATTTTTGCCAAAAAAATGTGCGCCACTGAAAAATGCAACTTGTTTATCTCTTGAATTTCTTGAGTAAGTTTGGATGCCACATAGGTACAGCAGCATTTTCTCAAAATATTTCCAGATTTCGCTAAATCTTTTGCCAAGAATTGGTTAAGTGTGTGAAGATCATTTAAAATATCAAATATTTTAAGAAGCTCTTATCTATATTTATAGAGCTGTAAAGTAGTTTCAACTAGAGCGGAAGACGCCTTTAAAAAAAGTTTCATCTAAGGAGGAATTAATGACCATGTTATCAAATAAGGATAGAAAAACACTATTGTTTTCTCTAACAGAATCCTTCTTTGCGGGTTTCTTTATAAATTATTTATTTTAAGAACAGTACTAAGCGGGGATTTGTTTTTAATAGGGAAATGACACTCAAAACGTTGACATAAATATTGCCTTCTTTTTGGCCAAAATTTTTAAACGCATAACAAACACGATATTCGCATGTATATAATATAGAAATTTACTGTCTTTCCTTTACTTTGTTGGAAAAAACACGATTTTGTGAAAGATTAACAATATTATTATTGTTATTATTATTATATTATTATTAGTATTTTCTGCAGTCGCAGAAAAAATCTATTCATATACCACCTGCTTGAAATTAGAGGTTTTTTCAAAACTTGTTGCACAACTGCACACATATTTTTTCAACCATATTTTTATTTAATTTTCAGATGTTGGGCTATTTACTTCTGACAGTTGCATTGGTGCTAGTGGCATTTCATTTTTGGAAACGCCGTTACCTGCCTCCGGGTCCGTACGGTTTGCCCATAGTCGGATATCTGCCATGGTTGAACCCTAAATCTCCCTACTTAACCCTCACAGATTTGTCAAAAAAGTACGGCTCGATTTATGGTCTCAATCTGGGTAGTGTCTATACTGTGGTACTAACCAATCCCAAGACCATCAGGACCACATTCTCCAAAGATGCCACCACCGGCAGAGCGCCTTTATATTTAACACACGGTATAATGAAAGGTTACGGTGAGTTAAAATTGAAGTATAACTTATGAAATGAACACTTTCTACCATCGGAAAAGAAAATCATATTTTTTGATTTATTTGAGATCAAGATTCAAATAATCAAGGTCGAATATGGCCTAACTACACTGATAAAACTAATTTGTATAATTCCCTAATATATTATGGGTAATTTTGGGTCATAATATATAAGGGAGGATTTAAAAAAAAATACTAGTAAAAAACATGATCAACTCTGTATTTTCTTAGGTAAATTGTTAGAAATTTTTTATTTAAAAATTACAAAACACTTCTTTTTTCTTTCACAATATAATTTCAAATATTTTATGAGCAAATAATTTTTTTTATATTTTACAGATTTTATTATGAGAATTTTCGAAATAAAAATTTCGTTTTTACTTTTTGGCAGTGTAATATATATTTTAATTAAATGCATATTTTTAAAAAAATGTGTTCTTCCAAGAACCACCCACGATATTCTCAGCATTCTTCACGGACACCACATCTTGAATGCCTCGCTTGGAGCTTGGAGTTCGAATATTTATTTTCACGCATTGTTTGACTCGCCGAAAGTTAATATCCTGTTCCTGATAAATTTTGACAATTTTTATTAGACGTATGTCGCTTTCACCGAGATGCGATTGTAGATCGTTTAAGAGGTCGACGTTCGCGCTCGAGTTAAGAGAGCGCGCGTGAGAGAGAGAGATAGCGGGAAAAAGGGTGAAAGGTCGAGAAGGTTGTCGTCTTATGCAAATGTGCGAAAATTTCTTCGGTAGATTGCTTTTGACCCGCTCGAGACACACATTTTAACGAGAGTCGCAATTCGGTCGTACTGCTTTCGCGTTTACGGGTTCTGTAAAATTATTTCTTCGACCATGCACTCAGCGCTTAGCCCAGTACTACGAAATCCGTTTTTGCGGGAGCGTTTTGGCGTTTGGCGGTAAAAATAAAAGCCTGAATAGATTTCACTAAAACCGTCAACAACCAGAAACAAATCTCAAATTTTCTTATTTATACTTATATATACTTGTCCTAACTTGCTCAGTACGATTGAGCGTCCAAAGAGATAAACCAGTTTGTGCGTGTTTGTCCCATATGAAAACTCGTAATTTTTCTTTTTCATTATTGATTTCACGCGCGATCTTTAAACAAGATTGTCTTCGAAATATCGTCGCTGGGCGGGGCAAGTTCGTAGCGCCTAGCACGAAGCAGCTTTTTAATATAAAAGGAAAGAGCTTCACGGTTTCGTGTGGTAAAGGGACGCATTGTTATTCTATCGTTCTCCTGGTTACCACTATGGAATTTTCGCAAAATGGATATAATTTAATTGCACATGCACAGTTACATCAAGCATTGGTAAATATTAAAATTTGCACAAATAATAGCGTTGTCGAATGATATTTTTTCAAATATCTGGCGCCCTATATAATTGACGAAACCGGAAACTCTCTCTCGACACAGCTTACGATACTGTTCAAACAAAATTATCCCATCTTTAGCGGAAACGGAAATTTTTAGGATCTTTTAGATTTTTTGGGACACACCGCATATGATTCAAACAATGTTCGAAGTAGAAGTTATAGCCCTCCATCTTACACATTTCCTGGTTCAAGAATATTTGGAAAATAGTAAATGGTTTTCGAGAAAATAAGTTTTTTCTGAAACCATGCAGTGCGCTATAATAATCAATGACGTCATCGCGTCTTAACAGCCCCGGAAAAAACGATTTCAATATGAATTTCTTCAAATATCCCGAGCAGCTTATGTGATAGACAAAAACCGCAAATACAAAAATTGCAGTTTTTGATGCCCATGACACCGTTTGAACCAATTAGTTATATTTTTTACGATTTTTATTTTGCGGCTAATAATTTACTCTGGAAAACAATTTTCTAGGTCTTTTAGATTTTTGCCTATAATTTGAAAACCCTGTATATAATCGAAAAAAGGAAAACTAATTTTTCTGGAAACTAAAATTACCAAAAACAAAAAATTTCAAAATTTTTAAAAAAGTACTTGGCAAAATTTGATTTCACCCAATCTCAACTGTTCAAATGAGGACACGGACTTTTACTTCTCTGCTAAATTTGAAGTTGACAAATTTAGGACATTTAATACATTTCTCATTTAGCACGGAATATCGTAAACACCCTGTACAATAGGTGAAAACCTTAAATACAAAAGTTTTTGCTGTCTATGCGGGCTATATCGCAATATAAAAGTGAGATCTGAATCATGGTCTTTCAGTTATAACCCCTTTTTCAGTTTCTTTGAATTTGCGGCGCGCCCTGTATATTTTTGAAAAATTATCAAAAATAAAAGTTTATGGAGCCGTATCTTCTGCGTCTTCTGGTTTAAGAATTTTTTTGGTCTCTTAAACGGTTTTTGAAAAATGATTGCACATAGGCTCCATCACGGAGTAAAGCTGCATTTTTGTGCCAAATATGAAGTCAATTGCTTCAAATTTCGTACCCTTGTCGCGTTTCAAAGCAATGTCCAAAAAACAATCGAAAACCGCGAAAAAAAGATGGATACCGGCGTCAGATCAGGCCCATTTCATATAAGCTTATGTGCTTCGTTTAGGTTTAAAAAGGCAGCCAATTTTAATTTTTTAGCTCCGACGGTTCGGAAGTTATTCATAAAAAAACAAAAAAAAAAAATTTTTTTTTCGACGGTGATCATTTCTGCACCAACGGCAATCCCATAGGACCTACCGTTACCGAGATATAAAATTTTTATACAAGCGTAGATACTTTCGAAAAATTCGATTTCATCTAATTTCGAAAGTAACAAGATTGCTTTCGAAAAATCGTCGCTGGGCGAGGCAAGTTTGTAGCGTGTAACGTGAAGCAGCTTTTTTTTTATAAAAAGAAAGCTTCGCGGTTTCTTGTGGTAAAAGGACACAATATTTTTCTATCGTGCATCTCTTTCTCAAAATCGTTGTAATTTTATTATGCATACACCCTGTATAAAGTGTCTTTCAAGCCTCGCCGAACTTCAAAGTTTCAGCAATCTTTGTTAAATATTCAAATTTGTACAAATATTAGCGATGTCGAACGATATTCTTACAAATATCTCGCGCGCCCTGTATAATTGACGAAACCTGAAACTCTCTCTCGACACAGTTTGTGATAACGTTCAAATCAAATTAACTGATTTTTAGCAGTCTTTCATTTATCCCCAATAATTTACCAAAAAAACGGAAATTTTTAGGATGTTCTTGATATTTTTGCCAATAAACGGCACACCCTGTATATGATTCAAACAATCTTCGAAATAGAGGTTATAGCTCAGGATCTCCCACGTTTCCTGGTATTTGATTTTTTTTTAGTGGCGTAAGTGTTTTCAAGGAAATACTTGTACGTGGTAATAGTAAATGACGTCATCGCTTCTAGATTGGGGGCGAGAATCAGCGATTTTCATATGGATTTTTTCAGATATCTCGAACAACGTATGTGATAGACAAAATCCGTAAATACAAAAATTGTTACTCTTGATTCGGCCTATAACACTGCTTGAACCGATTGGCCATATGTTTTACGAATTTTGATTTGCTTTTAATAATTCATTCCAAAAAAGTACAACTTTCACGGTCTTTTAGATTTTTATCCACAATTGAAAAACCCTGTACATAATCAAAAAAATGCATAAAATAAGAGTCATAGTTAAAGACTAAATAAGCAAAGAAAATTTTTCAATTTTTTTAAAAAATATTTGAAGTCGATGACTTGAGACACCTAGAATATAGCACAGAATATTCCGAACACGCTGTACAATATATGAAAACCAAAAAGTTGTATGTAATTTTATTGTACATACACCCTGTATAAAGTGTCTTTCAAGCCTCGCCGAACTTCAAACTTACAGCAAAACTTTATTAAATATGAAATTTTTTTCAAATAATAGCGTTGTCGTTTTTCAAATGTCTCGCTTGCTCTATATAACTGACGAAACCTGAAACTCTCTCCCGACACAGTTTACCATACTGTTGAAATGAAATTATCCTATCTTTAAAAGTTTTCATTTATCACCAATAAATTACCCACAAAGCAGAAATTTTTAGGATATTTTAGATTTCTTGCCCATAAACGACATACCCTGTATACAATTCAAACAATGTTCGAATTGGAGGGGAGGTTATATCGCTGCATCTCCCACGTTTCCTGGTATATGAATTTTTCCAATAGAGTAAATAGTTTTAGAAAAAATAGTTGTTTTCTTAAACCATGCAGTTGTCGTAACAGTAAATGACGTCATCGCGTCTAAATTGGAGATGAAAATTTCCATTTGGATTGTTTTCAAATATCTCGAACAGAGAATGTGATAGACATTTTTAAGATAGATAGATAGATAGATATTTTTTAAGAATTTTGGGTTACGGCTGATAATTTACTCTGCATTTTTGTTCATAACTGAAAAACCCTGTATATAATCAAAAAAATGCTAAAAATAAAAGTTATAGTACTGGAACTTCCGCGTCTGCTGGTTAAATAATTTTGCCGATCGGAATAATGGTTTTGGAGAAAATATTTTTTTTCTGGAAAAAAAACCCAAAAAAAAAATTTCAAAAATTAAAAAAAATACTTTGAGCTACTTGATCGCATCCAACTTTAACATTTAAATGTGGGTTTGGACTTCTGCTTCTCTGCCAAATCTGCAGTCGGTAGCTGCAAATTTAGTGCACCTCTTACGTTTTATAATATTGCACGGTATATCGCGAATTCCCTGTACAATAGATAAAAACCTTAAATACTGGTACACGAGCTATATTTTAGTGCAAAACAAATTGACTTCTGAATAGCAGCTCTCTAGTTATGGTAAATTTTCATTAAAAGAGAAACCCCATTTTCAGTTTTTTGTCAATACTGGTCGCATCTTGTACATTTTTAAAAATTGTCAATAACAAAAGTTTATAGCATTTAGTCTTGAGGATTTTTTGATACACAGTTTTATTCGATGTCGTATACCGTTTTCGAGAAATGATTTTCTTTTAGATCCATGCA